GCAAATGAACACCCTTTAAGATTCAATTCATACAATCAATCAATCAATCAATCATTTACTCTTTTTGAGAGTTTCAGTGATAACTTTCATTCTGCAGGGCACAGTCGAAGCTCATCACTCCTGTCCTCCTGGCTCCTTTGATTCCGCTCTGTTCTCGTATTCGTCATATCCTCACTTATTGTTCTCCCCAATATATTGTGTCTCTTGAGGCGTCTAGCGAACGTCCCATATTGTTTTCGTACACGCGTTTCCAGCTAGACATGTTTAAAAATCCATTCTTCTCCTGCTGTCTGAACTTGTAGTTGTCGTCTTTTCAGCGCCTCATTACTTCCTTGCGCAGACAGGTTCTGATATTACTGTCTGTCTCTTTCTGTTTCTCTTTCAAGCGTTTTGTTTCTGTTTTTCTGTCAGGGGTTTTGATGTGATATTTTCCAGAGTGTTTACGTCACGTCTAAGCCTGTCTGAATTCTTACATCATTGCTGATCTTGGTTCCTATAGATAAACAATAATTAACGGTTAAATAAATGAATTTTTATTTTCTCAATGTGTATGTAGGTCTTATCTAACTGACCTGAATTATTGAAGTAGTCACAAATCTTCGTAAATTATGTAACACAAATCGTGTTGGACGGAGAGCCAGAAATGCTCCCATGTGGATTCAGATACGTCTTCTTCTCCGCCTTTCAATACAGTTCGGCCAACCATAGACATTTTTCAGTCAACTCTGTCTACCAACCAACTAACGGGTCTGACTGGGCAGCGGGAAAGTTTATTATACCTCTCCCAGTCCTATAAATTCTTTCCTTTCTCCATCTGTCTTTTTCTATGTTTCCTTCATCGATCGACGTTCATTTTTGTTTATCTCCGCGACCGTCTCGCTCATTCTAAATTATTGTCTCGTGCGTGCTCCTGTTTTCGCCTGAATTCTTTCTCGAAGGTCACTTCCACGTTTGGGGGTTAACGTCCTGCTCTGTTTCACCTGAATTAATCTTTATTTCCGCGCCAAGTTGCTCTAGGAGCAGAATGCGGTCGGTCAAACTCAAGCCTAATACCGGGTGCCTATTTGCACGATCGGGTCTGGTCGGGTTGGTCGGTTTGCTAGTCAGATTGAGAGCACAAAGCAGCTTTCGTGGCCCAAACCGATCGCTCGACTCGTCGCCTCAAAAACAAACACGTTGGTTTTCAGGCGACGAGTCAGGCAATCGACCCGACCCGACCCGACGGCTATTGTCAGAATAAGCATACATGTGTATTGTTCTTCAATGTATGTATCTATATAACTCCAAAGGTCTTGTAAATACATTCCTGCTCGTGGTTGACTGATGCATCTGATGTGATATGTACATTTTGTCAGCTTTACTCCTCTTTTCATATTGAATTTTAATTAGAGTAATATATCATTTAATGTTGTACGTATACCTCCATAATGTGGTTTTACGGTCGTGTTCAGCCAAGGAAAATTTCCCTCTGAGATAATAAAGTATTATCTTATCTTATCTTGTCACATCTGGCTGAGTGAAGTATAGTAGCAGCACCCTTACAGTTCTCGGAAGACGAGCGTGAGAGACTGCACTAAAAGAACACCCCGGCACATCTTATTATATGTGTCACAACGTGATAGAATCAGGCGCTCGTCAATTTTTGGGCATCTGGAGATAATGGTATCATCTGAGAGCTTGTTCATTTGACCATGTTTCAATTTTTTTTTAACAAACAAAACACGCCTGTCTTGAAGGTGAGATATTTGGAATTGAAGGAACTCGGGGTCGTATGGTTTCAGAGTTAAAATAGGCGAGAAAATGGCTGCCAACATTTGGTGATGTCCAAAGCTTGAGAGTCGTTGGAAACTGAAAATGTACATTTGCTGTGTCTTTAATCAGTGCTTTTCAGTAAATCCTCACAGAATGGTTTTAAACGGACATAAAAGGCATATAGCCAAAAAAACAGCAATTAGAAAAAAATTATCAAACTGGAGGAAGAATGCTGATATCTTTGATTTCATTATTTTGTTGAGCGCCTGATTTCATCACGATTCCTCACATATGTATCCGTGTTAGAAAGAATTATTTGTTTCACGATGTGGTGGAATCAGGACCTTGTCATTTTGGGGGGCATGTTGGGCTAGTGGTATCATTTGAGAGCTGATTTATTTGCCTTGCTTCGAATTAAATGAATATCCATTTATCTTGAATATGGCTCAAGATATCTGCTATTGAAGGAAGTGGGGTTGTTTGGTTTCTGTGGTGACACTATCGAGAAAATGGCAGTCAAAGTTTGGTAAATCCAATAGCTAAAGAGTCTTTGAAAACTGAAAAATGACATATTGTACATATTATATGCCTCTAATCAATGTGTTTCAGTAAGATTCACATGGAAATGTATTTTTATATGGACATATAAGAGGTTGAGCAAAAAAAAAAATGAATAAAAATTTACACTTTCAAAAAAATGCCTGTTTCTCCAATTTCTGTATTTTGACGAGCGCCTGTTTTCATCTCGCTGCTTCACATAATAATATTATTCGTCACGACGCAGTAGAATCACGTGCTTGACGATGTTTGGGTATTTAGAGTTTTTAACATAATCTTAAAGCTTGTTCATTTGTCTTGGATTGGCAAAAAAATACCCATGTGTCTTGAAAAGACGTCGAGATTTTTGCGATTGAAGGAAGTGGAGCTCGCCAGGTCTGAGAGGTAAAATTAACAAGAAAATGGCCGCCAAAGTTTGGTGACTTGGAAAGCTTAAGTGCCTTTGGAAACTGAATCTTTTTTCCGTGCCTTTAAAAAAAGTTTTTCTGTAAAATTTACCCTGGAAAGCGTTTCTAAAAAGACATAAAAGGTGTTGAGCTAAAAAAAAGAATTCGAAAAAAATTGTAAAACGCTTATAAAAATGCCGATTTCCTGGATTTCATAGTTTTGACGAACGCCCGACTTCACCACGAGGGGTATGTGTGTGCGTATGTGTGTGTGTGAGTGTGTATGTGTGTGTGTGTTTGTGTGTGTGTGTGTGTGTGTGTGTGTGTGTGAGTGTGTATGTGTGTGTGTTTGTGTGTGTGTGTGTGTATGTGTGTGTGTGTGTGTGTGTGTGTGTGTGTGTGTGTGTATGTGTGTGTTTGTGGCCCTGACCCTAGAAGGCGGGAAGTCAGATGAAAAGTCAAGCTGGCACAGACAGGTCAAACAGCTAGGTGGTGTCCACTGAGCAATGAGTTACGTAGAGAGTTTGTCAGACCACTCATCTCATCTGACAAGATTTGTGGCTTGCCTGTGCGCGACACTCAGACTATGATATAGCATAGATAGCACTCGCGCCCAGTGAATGAGAAAGTGCGAGGCTGCACGAGAAAGTAAGGCTATAATTTTACGGTGTCACAAACAGGAGTATTGTACTCTCCACTTCCAACCTGCTTCCGGGTGAAGGTGAACTAGAACATTGATTAAATCAGGGTGATTAACGGTAAAAACATGTCCGGTCAGTACGTTTAGTTCTTAATTTACAGCTGGAAGTGAATGGTTTGTCTGTTCTTTGCAGGAAGTAACGTGGAACTGAACCAGCAAAGAGAGAAGAAAAACATGAAGAATTGTAAATAGTTTACTTTAAAAATGCAATAATGCCTATGCTATGCATAAAATTAACTTATCTAGGTCAACCCTGCCTTCACAGCGTCAATCTTATCTTTTCTTCACTCTAACCTTAAAAGCCACTGGTCTGCCTTAGGTGTATTTTAAAAAGGAATAAATTGCAAACAAATGAAATAAATAAAATATTATTGAATTATATATATATATATATATATATATATATATATATATATATATATATATATATATATATATATATATATATATATATATATATATGGCTCTTTTCGTCTATGCAGACGGTCAATTTAGCTTAGCTTAAGATGGTCTGAAGGTTTTCTTCTTGCAGCTGCTTGCATGTCAGAGTTATATAAAATAGATAAATATAACATTAAATTAAGAATTTAAAAAGAACGAAAGAAAGAAAACAACGGCTGTTTGAAATTTAAAACCAAACAAACAAAAGTAACAAACATTCAAATATACTTCTTTTCTTTGAGACTGTGGATCATCACCTTTTCCACTCCACATCCCTAAATGACATCAGAGCTACACTTCTCCCTCCAAGACCTAACATTGATAAAACACTCTATGGAACATTACAGCAACTGCAGCAAACCTGCACTTATCACTACATGGCATTGGACAGAAGGGTGAGAGCCCAGATATTGCTGGATCCATAGCATTGTAGGTTATCCTTCGCTGCCGAAGATGATGATGAAATCCTGCAGCTCATATGTGGACGCTCATGTGGTTCTGCAATCCGATCTTGGATGTTAAATGTCTGTTGCAGTGGGGACACTGGAATATCGTGGTTGGGATGGTCGAATTATGTCTCCTCTCTCTTCTGATAGTCAGATTCTCCCTGTAGTAGATATCGCAGTTTCTGCTGGCAAGACGGGCGGCCATGCACAAAGCATTTATTTATGTGGCAGTTCTCTCGAGTTCTTTGGGGGGTAGCCTGTGCAAACTGAAGGTTTCCCTTTAATGTGTCTTTGAAACGCTTTTTTGGTCTCCCGAAATTTCTTTTCAATAACTACAACAGCCACATCCGGCGGTGGCCTCTCTTTGACGAGGATTCAGGGCGGTTGGACTGCCTCACCCGCTACCCAAGAGAGGCGGTGGCCCTGGCGAAGACACGCTCTTCGGGGCTCCAAACATTTCGAACTGATAGCCTACCACACACACACACACACACACACACACACACACACACACACACACACACACACACACATACACACACACACACACACACAACAGCAACAACAATAACAGCAACAACAACAACAAACTACTACAGCAACAACAACAACAGCAACAAAATAGAACAACAGCAGCAACAACAACAGCAACAACAACAGCAACAACAGCAACAACAACAACAACAACAACAACAACGTATTTTCTCCCACCCACAGATCCAAGTCCTGACTACAAGTCCTCTCTGCCCCGCGACCCTCGCCCTCAAATGAAGCTCCCGGTGGACGACTTCCCGCTGCTGGCAGGGAACAAGGCACGGGTCAAAGGTGGCTTCCGCCCACCCCTCCCCCTAGAGACCACCACAAGGCTCCCGGAGTTCGTGCCAGACGGTCCCCGGCCTTACATCCCGGACCCCAGTTTCATGCCCGGTGACGTGGACATCGCTGTCCATCAAGGAGACGTGGCGGTCCTTCCCTGCACGGTGCAAAATCTGGGCACTAAGGAGGTCAGTTGGTTTCGTTTTCGTTTTTTTCGTTTTTTAGTTGTTGTTTTTTTTTTAGAGGTTTGTCGGCGCTCGCAACTGTTTAAGTTTATATGAGCGCCAGAAGATTAGAGGTGTTACAAGAGAGTAACAAACATAAAAAAGAAGAATGGGAAATAAGGACGATAGATGTTTCATAGGAAAGAAGAAGCAAACCACACCAGAGCACCCGCCAACCACCCGCAGTTTAAGTTTTAAGATGAGATAAGATAGATGAGATATGATAAAATAAGATAAGACTTTATTATTACTTTTAGTAAGGGTTTACAGCGCTGATAACTGCATAATGTCATAAGAACCCCATGGGGTGAATGTCAACAGAGAAGTCCAAACAGGGAATCAAGCTTACTCTGCTCACCTCTCTGGCCTCAACAGCACAAAGTCTGCTTCGACAATCAAGGAACCCCGGAAAAGGCAGTTTGCATGAGAGTGACAAACATATAACTGAAATTACGATAGTAAGGATGAGGAACGAATAAGCAGCAGGTAAGTTCGGGTGGAGGAGGTTCTGAATAGACGTTCTAACGTCCTTGGTTGAGATGAAACTGTGGGTGGTTGGCGGAAGCTCTGTTGTGATTTGTTCCTTCCTTTTGTCGCTCCTATGTCTCTTTTTTCTTTTTTTTTGTGTGTTACTCTATTCTTGTAACACGCCTAAACCTAAAAATATAATCTTTTTGGCGGTTGTTCTCGTGTCGTTTGCTCCTTCTTAGCTTTCAAACATCTATCGATCGTTCGTATCTCTTCTCCTTCTTTTCTTTGTAGGTTACTCTCTGGTAACACCTCTAATCTGGTTGGGGGGGTTGGGGGGTGCTCTGGTGTGGTTTGCTCCTTCTTTCTGTTCAAACATCTATCGTTCTTACCTCTCCATCTTCTTATCTTTGTATGTTACTCTATAGTAACACCCCTATTCTTGGAAGCTAATTTGATCGAATCCTGGGCAATTACTCAAACTAAAACAGAGATACAAGTGCTTGTGGAAAGTTCCGTGCCGGATTTTATTGATGGTATCCATAAAGGCGGAATCGAGTAAGCTTTATTCCAAGTGTGACTAAAAATGATTTCATTTTATTTCCATAGAGTTAAGGACTATCCAAACATATCACTATGAGGGGATCAACAAGTACTAAGACTGTTTCCTGTGGATTTGGTTCAAATTATAAATTGGTATGCTATCAAATAAAGATTTAATAAAGATAAAAAAACCTAGGACAATCTCTATGCTTGGCAAATGAGAGAGGTCTAGTGAACATCAACAGTTATATTACATAACGTACTATCAAAGATCGTACATAACAAGAGAGTTCACTCTGCCAAAAAAGTGTCAGTGGAAGTCCGCGCATTGCTTCAGATGGTGTTGCAATCTTTGTTTTGAAGCTCTCTTTCGTTTCTCCAGAAGAAGGATAGGAATAGCTCAGTTTGTTAGTCCAACTCTGTTCGCAAAGTCGGCGCTTTGTCTAAGAGGGTGCCACCGAATTTTGAGAACACCTTTTTAATTGACTCAAAAAGAGGAATGAACTATCTAGTATACACGATCTTTGATATTTTTTGGGCATTTGTCTAATATGGTAAAAGAGAATAGATACTAGTAGATCTAGAAGGAAAGAAAACTAGAGCGAATTTTATATGACCGTTGGTACACATTATTTTGTAGTCAGTTCTTTAGTAATGACTGTTGTTTGTCGTTGTTGGATATCGTCTTCTTTTTTTCTCGAGGATGAATTTTTTCCCAAGAAAAAAAGGGGGGGGGTATCGTAGATATCATTATCTATTTTATACATTAGTGCTAAAATTAGATAAGCATAATTATCTCAAAACCAGGCGAATAATCCATTATTTCAGGCCATAATAGTTTATAATCCAGTACGTCTAAACCCTCAGAGAACATCAGAATACTTGTTTACATGCGGTATTCGAAAACATAAATAAATGCAAAAGACTTAAAGTCAAAGATAGGCCGTGATTTCCATGAATAAATAGTTGTTTTAAAAACACGAGACAATGTTAAATGAGGTTTTTAAGGACACTGACCTCAGTTGGTGTAAGTGCGGAGACAGTGCAGATGTCCGAACAGGCCTGAGCCAGCTGATGTTCTCTTGGGAGAGTGAATCTATTTCCATGTTTATTTGTACATTGAAAAAAACACATGTCTACACAGTGATGGTCGTACGTACGTTTAAAAAACCACAAGCATGCCTACAAAGGGATGGCCATATGTACGTTTAAAAAAAGACATGTCTTCACAGGGATGGTCATACGTACGTAAAAAATTAAACCACATGTCTACACGCAGATGGTCGTAGGTACGTTAAAAAGAACACATGTCTACACACAGATGTTCATACGTACGTTAAAACAAAACACATGTCTACAAAGAGACGGTCGTACATACATTTAAAAAAACACGAGCAAGCCTACAAAGGGATGGTCATACGTACGTTTAAAAAAACGCATGTCTTCACAGGGGTGTTCATACGTACGTTTAAAAAATACATGTCTACACAGGGGTGTTCATACGTACGTTTAAAAAATACATGTCTACACAGGGATGGTCATACCTACTTTTTAAAAAGCGCATGCTTTTTTTTATTTTACGGGGCTCGCAACTGCATAAGGTCAAATGAGCGTGAAGCACATGTCTAGACAGGGATGGTCATACGTACGTTTAAAAAACACATGTCTACACAGAGGTGGCCAGCCTATGGATAGTGTTGACCAAAGGCAGTGACCTTCTTTTACGCGGGAAAACAGAAATTGTCTGATATATTAAGTGTCTTCTCGTGTGTTATACAATGGGAGTCATTAGGTTGAAATCAAGCGCTCGTCAAAAAAAAAAATCGAAGAAAATAGCATTTGGCATTTTTTTTCTCGATTTTTTGGGGGTTTGTTTTTTTACTCAAGACCATTACTGTCCATTTAAAAACGCATGTCTGTGAGGATTTGACAGAAAAGTGTTGATTTAAGGCACAGCAAGGTAAATTTGCAGTTTTAAAGGATTCTCAAACTTTGTAAGTTTCCAAACTTTGGTTGCCATTTTCTCGCTAATTTTACCTCTAATACAGGGCAACCCTCACCTCTTTCCATCTTTAAAATTTCAACTTCTATTCAATATAGAATAGATGGACATTTTTTTTTCAAAAAGAAAGGCAGGTGAACAGGCGGTAAGATGATACCAATAACCACATATGCCTCAAGATTGACAAGCGCCTGATTTCACCACGATATCTCACAAATTGAGTTAGATACTTTTCAGTTCTTTTCGTTGTTAGTGTTTGTAGATGACGAATTGTTTTTGTTTTTTTGATATATTATATTATTATGTGTAATTTTGTGGGATAGGGATGGGGAAAGGGTCTCAAATATGGCCAGTTTGGGCTTACGCCGCTGAGCTATTGACTCATGATCGATTAAGGACAGGTAAGTTTAAACGAAATGGTATAAAGTTCAAGGGGGAAAAAACCGTTGAAGAACGCCTTCTGACCGCACTGTGTGCTTCACGCCATTTTGAGTCTTGTATTCCACTTGTATATTATTTCAACCCTCTTTTGAAATTCCAATGTAGGTATCATATCTGTTGAAATCAAGCCTTTTCTAAGCGCTTTCTCTGTGGTCAGTATTCGGGCAAAACTTTAAATCACAAAGTTTCCCCATGAACTTGCACTGTTCGGGGTCTGCTGGGTAAAGACATACTCTTCTTTTCATTTTTTTGTAATTTTTTTACGGCGCTCGCGACTAGACCGTCGTATAAGGGCGCGGTTCACATGAAACATTTTCAGTTAGTAGGAATTTTTGATTTGGCAGAAGCCCACTCTTGACGATTTTAGATCACACAGGGATCTTTAACGTGCGCAACTTGCACACGGGACCTCAGAGATGTTTCGCCCTTCCCAGAAGGCTAGGTATAGGTCTTTCCTACCAGAAGATCAGGGGTGTGGCTGAAAGGCAGCAGTAAGAAGGAGCCAAGGAGTAGCAGTAGAAAGGCTGCAGAAAGAGTCATGTGCCCAGAGGAAGGGGCAAATGGGGTTACGGGGTGAGGGCAAAAAGTGGAGACGAAAGCAAACAACAGAACATTGCTGGAGACAAGGAAAGGAGGTGAAAAGAGACAATTTTAGGGAATATTTTTTCAGTCCCTATCCAGATTCAAACCCGGGACCTTTAAATGAGAGGCGAACACCTTAACCTCTAGGCCAAAAGAGCCCCCCCCCCCTTCCACCCCTACCCTCACCCCATAACCTTCGAGGGGTCTTTGCACAACGAGCAGGTATGTCAAAGAAAGATGGTAATGACAAACGGATCTGTTATAGAGATGAGGAGTCGTTTACGTTTTGCTAGCTGTCTCGTCTTCAGACTCGACCTTTTGGTGAGAGAACGATAGGACATCGGTGAATTTTAAAAGAACTTGAAGAGCGTGTCAACTTCAGGCCAACAATCTCACCCCCCCTTTCCCAATAAACCCACCATCCCCACCCCCCACCCCCATCCCCCACCCCCATCCCAAAATAACAACAGGAAAAAACGACGAAAAAATAACACAACAAAAACAAACAAAAACAAAACAAAAAACCCACAAAGCAACAACAATAACTGCCACAACAAAAGCAAAACAAAAAACAACAACAACAACAACAACAACAACAACAACAACAAATTGATACATTTCACTAAGTGCTAGAATCATAGAAGAACGTAGTGCTCCATTAATTCTGCTCTAAAACCAGGCTCAAGTTCTAATTTCAGGCTAAGCATTTTTGGATTTTGATTATTTGAACAGTTTTTATGGCTCTCCCGCCATATCGTTTGATAATGTTACTGTGTTGAAGGGTACTCGAACTCACATCCTGCCTTAACAATGGCACGCACGAGATTCTATTACTTGGACAAATAAACACATTTTGCCAAGAATGCACTTCGTTTCCTTGTTCTCAAATGCTCAAATGGGCAAAAGCCTGAGCTGGAAAGCAAACTGG